GGCTTATAGTGTCTTGTCTTATGTTTAAGTCTCTAAGCCATTTTGGGTTTATTTTTGTGTATGGTGTGAGGGCGTATTCCTTTTTTTTAAATATATTTTTATTGAAGGATAGTCAGTTTACAATGTTGTGTCAATTTCTCGTGTGCAGCAGAATGCTTCAGTCATATAGAAACATACATATGTTCATTTTCATATTCTTTTTAAGCATAAGTTACTACAAGATATTGAGCATAGTTCCCTGTGCTATACAGTATAAACTAGTTGTTTATCTGTTTTATATATAGTAGTTAGTATCTGCAAATCTCTAACTCCCAATTTATCCCTTCCCACCCTCTTCCCTCCTGGTAACCATAAATTTGTTTTCTATGTCTGTGAGTCTGTTTCCGTTTTGTAAGTAAGTTTGTTTGTTTTTCGATTCCACGTATAAGAGATATCGTATGGTATTTTTCTTTCTCTCTCTGGCTTACTTCACTTAGAATGACATTCTTCAGGTCCATCCATGTTGCTGCAAATGGCATTATTTGATCATTTCTTATGGCTGAGGAGTATCCCAATATATACATATATCACAATTTCTTTATCCAGTCATCTTTCAGTGGACATTTAGGTTGCTTCCATGTGTCGGCTATTGTAAGTAGTGGTGCTGTGAACATTGGGGTGAATGTATCTTTTCGCATTAGAGTTCCCTCTGGATATATGCCCAGAAGAGGGATTGCTGGATCATATGGTAAGTCTATTTTTAGTCTTTTGGGGAATCTCCATACTGTTTTCCATAATGACTGCACCAAACTACATTCCCACCAGCGGTGTAGGAGGGTTCCCTTTTCTCCACACCCTCTCCAGCATGTATCGTTTGTGGACTTTTGAGTGATGGTCATTCTGACTGTAGAACCTTAATTTTAACTTGAGTGATCACCATGCTTTTTTCTCACAACCTCTCTATGTAAAACTTTTCTTTCTCACATTCAACCCTAGAAGATTTGGGAGGAATTCCTAGGTATTCTTTGCCAGACAAGTGCTCATGTGGTAAACGTCCAGAGGTTTCTAGGTTTCAGAAGATCTCCCTGTTATCCTGAGTATGAGTCACTTGTCCCCATAATGCAAAATTCCTGGATCTGATCCTTTCCCTCTGGAATCTCTGGAGCTGGCTCCTCGACTGAGGCATCGATGGTCATGGAGGACAGAAGAGTAAAAACGGCCTTTTTAACTTGTCTGGTTTTTTTGTTTTTTTTTTTAAGTTCAGCTAACCAGTCACACTTATCTGGGTGTTTTCTTTTCTTTTTCTTTTTTTATTGAGGTATAGTCAGTTATGTGGGTGTTTTTAACACACTTACTGCAGCTTATTTTTCTGCTTAATGGCTTCTAGTAGCCTTTCTCTTTCTGTTCAGATCTTTTACTGGGTTATGTCTCCTTTTTTGGCCATTTGTTTGTCCAGAGCCCCCTGACCACTGGAATGTGTGTGAATTGAGCTGTCTGCTAGGAAGGGTAATTGATCACCGCAGTGCAGTAGGCCACCAGAAACTGGCATGTGCTCTGCCGGGGCCTGCATCCAGCACGCTGGCCTGGTGGTTGGCACAGGGTGTCCACCTCCATCCCTCCCATCCTGTGGTGCCCTCCTCTTGGCCTCTCTCCCCACTCATCCCTGCTCCCCTGCTCCCAACCCCTACCTCCATTTTTTGGTCTGTCTCTACTGTGGTTCCCTTGTGCAATTAGTGCTAATTAATTCCCAGTCAGAGTGATGGATGGTTTAATTTTCTTTCCTGGAGAGCCCTGTGTTCCCTTGCCTTGCCACAGACTGGGCAGAATTCCAAGGTGCCGAGCAGGTGGCTCAGATGGGTGGGGTCTTGGCAGAGGAGGCGGGGAGAGCAGCACAGGGTTGGAGGGGCCGGCTCCCAGCACAGGGTCCTTTGATCCTTGTCATTCTGGAGTGACCCCGCTGAGCCAGAGCCTTCTCTCTTCCACTGTAAAGTTTTCTGAAGCCAAAAGAAACCCTGCTGGATCCAGAAACCTTGAGAAATATCTTTGCTGCAGACTGTTGACCAAAGGGGAAATTGTCCCACCCCACAGAGCAAAATTTGTGGAATACCCTGTTCATATCCCGCAGAGTTGTTCTTCATGTGGCCTCTAAGCCTCCCTCTCTTTCCCCCCAGACTCCTCTCTCATCCCCTCCCTCTGGGGACTGAGTCTCAGGCACTTTTTTGGGAAGACAGTTTAATCTTCGGCTGCTTTGGGTTCACTTCTGACGTTTTTCGGCATAGCAGCTTGTAGGCCTGGGGCCCAAAGAATTCACTATGTTTTTAAAGGCAAACTTTTGTTATTCATCTAAGGGGGTATATGGAACATTTAGGGGATACAGGATTCTCTTAAGAGAGATGGGGTATTGCCCAGCCTGGAGTGCAGTGGCTGTTCACAGGCACCATCCCACTGCTGATCAGCATGAGTTTTGACCTGCTCTGTTTCTGACCTGGGCTGATTCACCCCTCCTTAGGCAACCTGGTGGTCCCCTGCTCCTGGGAGGTCACCAAGTTGATGCCGAAGTTAGTATGGGCACACGATAGGCATAGTGTACTCCAGCCCAGCACCCCTAGGTTCAAGTGATCCTCCTGCCTCAGCCTCCCAAGTAGCTGGGACTATAGATATGTGACCCCACGCCCGTCCCAAAAAGGAGGAAGGCAGGAGAAGAAGTTGTGAATTCTTCTTCCCTACTACTTTATCCCTGTCCGCAACATCAGCAACATCCCCACCAGTCACCATCATCACCCCCACCACCATATTCATCTTCATCTCCATCTCCACTATCATCATCATCATCACCATCATCTCTGTCATCACCATGTCGTTACCTTCATCACCATCCTCATTATCACTATCACCACCACCACTGTCTTCACCATCATCATCATATCATCACCACCATTACCATCACCACCATCGTCATCACTGTCATAATCATCACCATCATTATCACTGCCGCCACTACCTTTACCATCATCACCACCGTCATAATCATCACCATCATCATCATCTATCCCCACTGTACCATTACCATCATCACCACCACCACCATCTTCACCATCATCATTATCACAGTGGCTACAGTATACGGAGGATTTGCTCTGTGACAGGCGCAGCACTGAGTATTTTATATACATTTTGTCATTCAGTCCTCACTACAACCTTGTAAGCTAGATACTCCAATGATTCTTGTGCTCCTAGAGGTCACAGAACTCATATGTGGTGAAGCCAGGACTCACACCTTGGGGTCTGACTCCATAGACCCTGCCTTCATGCAGGAGCCGGGGGTCCCCCTGTCCCCCTGCAAAGCAGAGACACCAACCCCAGGTGTCCCCCCTGCTCTGTACCAGATCCCCACCCATGACCCCTCCCCAACCTCTTTCCCCTGTGCTCCCCTTCTTTTCCCTCCCCAGGTGTATGAAGGCGGGAGCAATGTGGACCAGTTTGTGACACGCTTCCTCCTGAAGGAGACGGCCAGTCAGATCCAGGCACTGCTGAGCTCGGTGGAGAGCGCCGTGGAGGCCATCGAGGAGCAGACCAGCCAGATCCGGTGCGTCCATGCAGTCTTGCTGGTCACTTGGGCCTTGCACATCTTGAGGTGATGTGTGTGCTCTTGGAAGCTGGGCAACCTTGGGGAAGCTGCTGCCCCTCTCTGTGCCTCCACTTCCCCAACTGCTAAATGGGGACGATTATATGCCTGCCTCCTCACATTGTTATGACTAGTTCCTAGACTCTCATCAGTTTTGCCAACTCCCCAACCCCAATTTTGCTCACATTATTGTTTACCTAAAACTCATTTGCAGGTCCTTGAAGCCATGGAAAAGCCCCGGGGTCCCCCCTCTTGGGTGGGGGCACTGTTGAGGCAGGGAGTCTGGGCTCCGGAGACAGACTGTGGGGACCACCAGCCCTCACATTTGCTGTCCCAAGTTGAGACCAACCCTCTTGTGCCTGTTCTTCCCAGCACAGCTGATTGCCCAGAGCGAAGGGGAAATAAGGAAATGGAAATAGACAGGAGCCAGAGCCCAGTATCTGAGCCCTGACTTTCTGCCCAGCCTTGGGTTTCCCGGGCAGAGCCCTGGCTGGGCAGGATGCTGATTGCCTGGGGTAGGCGTTTGTGTGTGTGCTTTTTGATCGGTGCAGGGCTGGTCCCACACAGACACAATTGCCAAGGCTGCTCTATGATGCTGTTCCCAAAATGCATTTGCTCTGAACACGTGCAGCCCAGTCACCTGGGAAATACACAATGCAGATTCCTGGTCGCGGCCATGCCCGCTGGATCTGGGCCCCTGGGAGCTGAGCCCAGGACTCTGCGTCCGCAATCAGTCTTGTGATTCTGAGGGTCCCTGAGGTTAACAGCCACAGCTCTGGAAGCTGTCGCTTAGATATTCTTCATTTTTTGGTCACTATCTTGATTAAAAACTTGACATTTCTATCCTGCTGCAGAGCAGATAGGACTGGTACCCGATTTCCACGGCTGATTTCCTGCACTTTGCCAATTCTGTCCTGTGTCAGCGGTTACCCCTGCCCGCCCCCTCTTTGGGACCTTACTTTGGGACATGGGTGGCAGGGGTGGGGGCATATCTAGACAGGGAGATGCATCTGCTTCCTGTGCACCCCCACGAGAGGTGCACCTCTCCCGGCTCCCTCCTGCAGTCCCTGGCATCGTGTTTCCCAGCCCTGGGGATGGCGTGATCCAGGCTGGAGTCACTGGTTCAGACCCTACTGGCCTTTGGGAACTCCCGCTGCCCTAAATAACAGTCTGAAGGCCACATTTAATTTGCTGCTGGTTTGATGAGCCACCAGGATTGACGTGTCAGAGACCCCACCATCCTTTCTCCTCCCACGGGGGCCCGCTGCACAGGGAGCGGCTGCTGGGCTTGCTGGTTCCCAGGAGAGGACTCCCAGAACACAGCAAGGCAGCACTGACCAAGGCAGAGAGGGGCTGGGACCACTGTGCCCGCGGGAGTGTGATGTGGATACATGTGTCTGTGTGTGTGTGGATGTCTGGTGTATTTTCCAGCATTTTTGCACATAGGGGTTCAGGCATTCACCAAGCATTGCTGAGTCCCTAGTGTGTGCCAGGCACAGTGTCTGATGGGCTGTGTGTGTGTCTCAGGACATGGGGGGCTGTGCACATCAGTGTAGGGGGCGGGCCGTGTAGGGGCAGGAGATGGGGCCAGGCTGAGGTCAGGATCATGTGTGTCTCTGTCCTGTTAGATGCTCGCTCTCCATTGTGTCTTAGAGCTTCCTTGTTTGGAGAGGGGACTTGTCTGACTGCTGCAAACCCAGCCCCCTCCCACCCCCTAGAGCAGCGGAACACTGAATTGGCTCCTGGGGAGGCAGGCCAGGTAGGGGAGGGGCTGCTATGAGCCACAGGGAGCTTGGGGGCCTGGAACTGAACCTCCCGGGAGCAGGGTCCGGGCTCCTAGAATGGGTGTGAGTTCTGATCCTGACCCTGTCCTGCTAGCAGCAGGGCCTCAGCCTGGGCCCCGCGTCCTCCTCTGTGGACCAAGTACATGATGTCCGCTTCACAGCAGTCGGGCTCCGCGGAGTGAGTTCTGTGCACGGTTCAGCCCATCGCCGGTGCTTGATTGTTGTCTAAGCTGCTGCAGTGGCCAGGGCCTCACGGCCTCCCTCGTAGTATGTGTTTCCCTACTCTCCCTGCAGACACAACCACAGCAAACCCAGCCACAGCGTGGTGGAGACCTGGTCTGGGAGCCCCACAGCCCCCTACGCCCCCAACCACAAGTTCATGGCTGCAGAGCAAGGGAAGAGCTTTCCACCTGGTGAGAGAGCATGATGGCCCAGGGTGTGGGGCACTGGCTGGGTGTCCTGGAAGGAATTCTCAGAGTGGTCCAGGTGGGGCCTGGACCTCCCACAGGATCTAGGACTGGGGGCAGGGCTTACCCTGGGGAGAGGGGTGGGGTGCTGGCCCTCCTGCTCAGGCCTGGCCCTGCCCCCATCAGCAGCTCTGTCTCTCTCACCCAGCCTCCTCAGACCCCAAGGAGGAGGGCCTGGAGGCCCAGGTCAGCCGACTGGCAGAGCTGATAGGACGGCTGGAGAACAAGGTGAGTGCTGAGCCCCCATCTCCATCCCTCTACCTGCCCTCCACCCTCCCAGCTCCCAGGGACAGAAATTGGAGAGCCTGGGAAGGGACATCCCCCAGGTGGAGCGTGGACTCAAGGCAGACCCCGGGAACATGTCCGAGGTACAGACCCAAGGAGAGGAGCCTGGGGGAGTAAGTCAGCAGGGTCACAGGCACCAAGGGGACAGCGCTCCAAGGAGGCTTGAAGGCGGGGTGGTCTGGGCAGGCAGCAGCATGGTGGGGGGTGAGGGCTGGTGACGTCCCAGGAGAAGTTAGAAGGACTGGCAGCGTGAAGTCTTTTAAACACAGTGTGGCAGGTCCACGAGTGACAGGAAGTGGGACAGCTTTTGCGGAATCATGTTTTCAGAGAACATTTCTGGACTCAGAGAATGGCTGTGTGTTTCTCAGGGCTTCCAGAACCATGTACCATAGGCTGGGGGTTGAAACCCAGGCCTTCATCCTCGCACAGATCAAGCCTAGAAATCTGAAATCAGGATGCTGGACGGCTGGTTTCTTCTGAGGACTCTTTTGTTGGCATGTAGATGGCTGTCTTCTCCTTGTCTGTGTCCTGATCTCTTCTTACAAGTACCTCAGTCATACTGGGTTAGGGCCCAGTCATGTGACTTTATTCTAAATTAATCACCTCTTCAAAGGTCCTATTTCCAAATGTAGTCATATTTTGAGGTACTGGGGATTGGGGCTTCAACGTATGAATTTTGGGGGAACGCAATTGAGGCCATAATAATATTTTTTGGAAGAAAGGAAACAGTTTCACTTAAGGTTTACCAGTGACAGAGTGACAGTGTTTGAATCCTGGCTATACCACTTCACAGCTGTGTGACCTTGGGCCAGTGACTCACCCTCTCTGTACCTCAGAGTCCTCTAACCATAGAGAAAATAATCAGAATGGTACCTCTCACAGGGTTGTTGTGAGGATTGAATAACATAATGTCTTAATAGCTTAGCACAAAGCCTGCTGCATAGTTAGCATTTAATATTAGCAGTGTTTTTTAGCCATTATTATTAGACATTCTGATACCAAAACCTATACACATGCCCACACCATACCCATATACCTCCATTCACCAAGATAACAGGTATCTCTGGGCTGTAGGCTTGCAGTGGTAATTTTACATTTCTCCTACTTTTCTGAATTTTTTACCTTTTGCCAAAGTGCAAAAGAACATGCTTTGATGGGTTTGTGAGTTAGTTCTGAGGAATTCGTGAGGGCAGCGGCGGGGTCCCCAGGAGAAGGCTGGGGCCGAGACTTGGGAGTCCAGAGGGAGGAGGCCGTGATCCCACCTGCAGGGCTGAGGCCGAGATGGGATCGCTCCCCCTATCCCCCCCACCAACCCCGACGTTAAAGCCAGCTGCTGGGTAGGAGCAGTGGGAAAGGCTAGGCGGGGGACCCTGAGACCCGGTTGTCATAACAACTCTGCGGGCGCCCCCAGAGGGAGGCTCTTTGAAGCTTATTTTTAGTGCCCCAGTCGCCTTAACAACCGTCTGGTTGGAAACCGAGGAGCACCTGGGAGTCCTGGAGGCGGGGCGGAGCCCTCCTCGCTGGCCTCTGATTGGCCCGGGCTGAGAGCAGGACCCAATCCGAGGCTGACTCTGGTCCCCGCCCTGACGGACCAACCTGAGTGCTCCTGGCTCGTCTGGGCCGGGGATGGAGCGCTGGGGCAGCGAGGCAGGGAGAGGGGGGTGTATAGGTAGGTGCCACCATGCCTGCTCCACCCTTCCCTCATCTTTAGCTCATCCTCACCCTCTTTCGGCCCTGCTGGCTGGGAAAAACCTAGGGAACCAGTTGCAGCCCCTGTTCTCCAGGAGCCCACATATATGGTGGTAAAAGGATGGAAACAAATTTACCTTGGCAGGACCACCTCGGCCACCTACAAAGCGCATTCACACTGTGTCCCCGATAAGTCAGTACCCTCTTCAGGACCGACTGTGGAATGCACCCGGCCCAGTGCAGAAATGATCAGGCCGGGCCCATTGTTCAAACATTAAGAATTAAGATGGGTCCTACACGTCTGCCACTCTTGTTTTCCTTAACACCAGCTGACTGCCTTACACACGTGCTTGTGTAGAGAAGAAAGACATGGGTGTGTGATTGCACCAGGGACAATACTGTCCTGCTTGGCGTCTCCCACCAGCCAGGGACTCTGGAGTCCCTGGAACCTTGGAGGGGAGGGACTGGAGCTCTTTGTTGGCCCTGGGTGCTTCTGTGAAATTGTGGTGATCCTCAAAGCCTCCGTGGCAGAGGTGGCCTCTGTCTTCATCATCTCTTCATGCTTTGTTGTTGCAGACACTTTGGTTTGACCTTCAGCAGCATCTCTCTGATGAAGAAGGCATCAACATGGTGAGGCCCCCTCCCCTGTGGCCCCATCCCTGCCTGAGCAGGGACTCAGAATGCAGGTGGCTTGATGTCCCTGCCACCCCCTACCCTGCCACCTCCACAAGGGGAGATGCAGCCCCTGCACTTGGCCTCCTTCCCCTCCCAGGAGTGTTTGTAGCTCAGTTTGGCCAGGAGCAAAGCTGTCAGCAGGACAGTGACAGAAACAGTCCTGCTGGTCACTCATTTTATTGTGTCTCAGATCTGATGCCTTGCAGGCAGCTCTCAGTCTTTCCAAAGCCCTTTGTCTGTTTTTTAGCATTTGGTTTCATAAGTTTAGTCCATTTTTAGCTAATTTTCACATGTAAAAATGCAAGCGTGTGTCTGTGTGTGGTGGGTGTGTTGGGGGGTTGGTTTTATCTTGACCAGATTGTCCTGTCCTGGGGAGACTGAGTCCCAGGCTGTGCCCTTGGGGCTGGGTGGCATCCTGGGGCAGAAGGCTGGCAGGGAGTCTGAAGACAACAGCTCACCCACCCTGTGACATCACAGCATCTGCAGCTGGTCCGCCAGGAGATGGCCGTGTGCCCTGAGCACCTGGGCGAGTTCCTGGGCTCTCTGCGACAGTACTTGCGGCGCACCGCCGGAGCCAGGAACTGCTTCCAGTGAGTGAGCCAAGGGGCGGGCCGGTGGCACGGAGCTCTGCCTGGGGGAGGAGGGACAGGGCAGGACCAGCCTCATCCCTGAAAATAAGTCAGACCTCAGGGAAGCATGTAGCGGGGCGATTCCAAGATTGGGTTCCAGTCCTAGCTTGGGCTTCCCCTTGCTGTGCAAATATGGCCCAGGATGTCATCTCCCTGACTTCAGCTTACTCATCTGCAAAGTGGGACTGCTGATCAGACCCGCTGCCTGTGGTACTCAGAGGTGACAGTGGAACGACTGCTGTGGTGGGTGTAGGCCAGTGCCTGACTATAGTCAGCGTCCCCCAGTTCTAGTTACCACGGTGTCTGCCCTCCTGGGGCCTCACCCTCTGGTCCCTGCTGCCAAGGCCTGCACTGCTCTGTGGCTTCTCAGCCCTCACCCTTGCTGGAGGTGGTCCATGAGGGCTATTGGCACCAGCCACCGGACCCTCTCCCTTCCTGTCCCTGGCCCCTCTGTCCGGGCCCAGTGAGCAGCAGCACTAGACTCTGTCCCTGGTCCCTGCCTGGACTCCTTTCGTCTCCAGTTTGCTTTTTCCTACCTTGGGAGCATGCAGGCCAGGCCCTGGGGGTACAGTGTCAGTCCGGTGGCTGCTCTTGTGGAACATTTATCCTGGGTGGTGGGAGAGGGGAGGGAAATGAAAGATGATTCCCATTGGCAATGGGTGCTTTGGAAGCCAGGGGACAGGGTCCTAGGGGCGAGGGGGCTGTGCGGAGGGGCTGCATGTGCACTGAGCAGCCCCACCTGCAGAATCTGAGGCGGGGGCCTGGCTGGAGGCGACACTGGGGTGGCAGCAGGGGTGGCAGCAAGGGTGCCGTGTTTGAAAAAAATAATCAGCAGCTGGTGTGGCTTGACAGAGGGACAGGGGACGGGACGGGGTGGCAGGCAGGCCCAGTCATGTCCGCTCCGCCAGCCCTGCCCATTCCAGGTACCAGGGACCAGGTGGGAGATGCTTCGGCAGGAGAGAGACTCGGTCCTGTCTCCCTTGTGTGAAGAAGGGCTGGGGACTAGAGTACAGACAGGCGGTGGGGGAACGTCACCCGGGGAGGGTACTTGGCCTTGGCACAGCATGGCAGAGCTGGGATCGATTCTGCAATAGAGCTGAGCGGACTTCAGTGGCTGGGGTAAGGGGGCTGCAGAAAGAGGTGACGAGGCAGAATCTGAGATTCTTGGCTTCAGAAACTTGATAGAGAGGGCTGCGTGCACAGCTGGAGACGTCCGGGAAGGTCAGGTAGGTGGAGGAGTCGCATTACATTCCAGGTGCCAGTCGAGATGCCACATACAAGTGGGGAGATCCTGGGAGTGGTGGACATGCAGGTCACCTAAAACCACGGGAGCTACACGCTTACTGTGGGAGAAAAATGCAGGAAAAGGGGGGCTGGGGGAGAGGGGAGGGAGTGGCACGCAGTTGGGTTTTCACCGGAGCACTGAAGGACCGCGTATCCTCTGAACCGCAAGCCTGCCTGCCTGCATCCCCGACCCCGCCCGAGGCCTTTCCCTCCCCCCGCCAAAAAACCAATCAGCGCGTCAGCTGAACAGTCACCATAATTGCTGTCACTGTGCTGCCGCCACCACACTTAGGTGAACCAAATTGCTTGATGACTTTTGTGTACAGAGGGACAGGCCCACAGGCAGTGGGTCCGCCTCTGGGAAGGGCCGCGGCTCCTCCAGTGACTGGGTATCACGCAGCCCTGTTCCCTGTCTGCGGGTAATTTTAGGCTGGAACCTAATGAACTGATGATACCATTTGTGGCCTTGGCTCCCTGCTTCTATCCTGTGCGGCAAAACCCGGAATTGCCCATAATTATACAGCAGACGCCGCCTCTGACAGAGTCTCCTCTTGGAGGGCTGCCTGGGGTTGTGTTCCACGGGGCGTGTGAGGAAGAGGAGGAAGCAGCGGCCAGGTCGGCCGTTAGAGATGTCACCTGGGAGGCCGGCCCTCCCGCTCCCCATGGCGGCCACCTTCTCAGAGGTGCCCCTGCCCTCGTCCCCAGCCCGAGTCTAGGGGTCCTGTTTAAAACGAGGGAGTGGCCCGCCCCTCACCCAGGTAAGGCAGCAGTGACCCAGGGCTCCTGCTTTCAAGGATTAAAAGAGACCATGATTATGCAGGAGAACGTGGCAGGTGGGAGAAGCTTTGACTTCTGAAGTTAGGTTTTTTCAGGTTTTAGTGAAGAGAAGCCTTTTAAAAAATGACATTTTATTACAGTTCATTCAACAAACAGGTACTGGCCACTCGGCAGGGCCTTCCTTGCTCCAGGTGGTAGAGAGACACTTAAACGGTGAGACTGGACAGCTGGTTGTGGAGGCTTCAGGTTCTGATCAGAAAGGCCCTGCGTTACCGAGAGTAGCCTCGGGCTGCCTGTCCTGGCCGCTGCAGCTCCTGCCAGCCTCACTTTTCCAGGGCCTGCAGGTGTCCCATAGCCTGGCTCTGGGGTGCTCTGTGTGCGCTCCAGGGAGGAGCAGGTGGGGGCGCCCAGTCTGTCCGCTGACTCCGGCCTCTCTCTCTGCAGCATTGCAGCCGTGAGGCTGGCGGACGGCTTCACCTTTGTGGTGTACGAGTTCTGGGAGACGGAGGAGGAGTGGAAGAGGTAGGCGTGGGCCGGCCGCAGCAGGGGGCTCAGTGGGGGGATGTGTGGAGGGAGACTACCCTGCCCCCTTTTTCAGGACTTGTCCTTGTTGGGGAGGGTCACAGAGTCCAGGTTCCAGCAGCTTCCACCACCCAGGATGCTGGCCTCTGTCAGCCCCATGTGCCCTCAGTCCAGCTGGAGGCAGCATTTCTCAGTGTGACTCCCTCTTCACACTCAGCTGGGCTCTGAATCCAGATTTCTGAACAGCCCTGGGAGTTGAGGCCAAGGTTGTTCCTGTTTGTCGCCCAAGGATAAAAATCCAGACTGTTCTCTCATTGAAGGGTTGCTCACTGGGAGGCCAGAAACAGGCTGTTCTCCCCCAAGGCCCCAGCAGTCACCCCGGGCCTTCTTGTCTTCCCACGAGGGCTCTGAGCCCTGGGCTTGGCTGACGAGGGTATCAGCCCCCAGCCCAGGCTGAGCCAGGGTGAGAATCGGACCTGGAGCCGGACCCCCGGGCCTAGAGCTCCCTAGCATCCCCCTGGGTTGCAGGCACCTGCAGAGCCCTGAGTGCAAGGCGTTCCGGCACATCAAAGTGGACACACTGAGCCAGCCCGAGGCCCTCACCCAGATCTCAGTGCCAGGTAGGTGGGGAGGAGGGCTGGGAACAGGGAGGCCATGGACTCAGGAGAAGTGGTTGAGCTGAGGTCCAAACCTTCCATACTTCATTCTCTTGCCTTTGCTGCCAGGAATTATAAAGTCCACAAGTGAGGTCTCACTGCCGAGGCCAGGCGTGCAGGGAGTGTCCCAGATGCAGGGAGACCACAGGCCTCAGACAAGGCCGGGGCCCTGGGGAGGTGGGCCCCGAGCCCAGCAGGTACTGGGCTTGTGCCAGAGGCCCAGAAATTCCCCCTAAATTCCCCCTAGTCCAGGGAAGTCCCCACCATGGGACCACCCCCCGCCCCATTCATAGCCAGACTGAGGTTACCTCCAGGTAACCTGTGACTCACTGCCAGGGCGACCAGCAGGTGCCTTTGCACCTGTCGAGGGGCCCAGTGCCTTGCTTTGTGCACTGAGCTCCCCCCAGCACCCCTTTCCTTCTTGCAGGCCACCCTGGCACAGAGTTGGCCCCCCGATGAATGAGGGATGGGCTTGCAGGAGTCACTCTCCTGTCTTGAGCAGATGGGGGAGCGGTGTCCCCAGGGTGCAGGGCAGGGGAGGGGCTTCCGTTGCCCACGGCCTTCTCCCCCTGACAAGTCTCTCTCCAACCCTTTCGCTAGCTGCTTGGTGCACCCTGGGCCGCGAGTGACCACCTCCCTGAGGCCCCGCAGGTGAGCCTGCCGCCGCCTTCCCTCTTCTGAAGGACGTCCACTCTTTTCTAGAAACTGGTCTACGAGCTGTGTTTTCCACATACTTCCAAATGAGAATGTCTTTTCCCGCTGTCTGAAGCAAAGGAGAAGCCCTGCCCCTGTGGGCAGAGTGGCCTCGGAGCTGCTGGGGCCCTGCTGAAACCAAAGGGCAGTGGTGACAGCGACCGGAGGCTTCCTGGAGGCAGCCCCTGCCCCTCCCCCCTCAAATGGCCACGCATGCTTGGCCCCCCACACCCAACACTGGCCTCAGCAGGACTCACCCTTCTCTCTCCCCTCCTGGTTGCCGTTCCTCTGCCCGTAGGAGCCGAGACCCCGTAGTGAACCTGGGCCTGGGCCGCGCCCGCAGGCGGCAGTAGACCCCCGTAGCCTGTGCCCTGCCCGGCAAAGAGCCGCCTGGGCAGGAACCAATAAAATCCCGCTGGGAACGGCTGCGTGTTGGTCTCCCATTTCCTAGTTGATGACAGCTGGGACAGTGAAGCTCAGGATGCTTGGGGCTCCGTATTAGCCAGGAAATCTGAACCAAGTTATCCCACGCTACGAGGTATGTATTTCAACAAATGCAAAGGTCGGGGGTCTCCCAAACCCCCTGCCTCAGTTCTGTAAGTCACTAGAAGGACTCAGAGCTCAGCAAAGCCATGATACTCATGGTTACAGATCGTGGAGCAAAAGGCTACAGATTGAAATCAGCAAAGGGAAAGAGGCATGGTGGGGAGGGTCCGAGAGAGACCAGGCACAGAGCTTACAATTGTCCACTCCCAGTGATGTATCCAGACAGCACCTGCTTCTCCCAGCACTGACGCCTGATGTCACGCATTGTTTTGGTAACTGCCAACCAGAGAAGCCCCACCAGAGCCTTGGTGATAAAAGTTTCCGTTAGGGGCCGGGCCTGTAGACAAGGTTGACCTTAGCCTCCAGCCCCTCTGGGAGTCAGACTGATACCTGTGACCTCAGGTAAACAAAAGACCCTCACATCAGGCAGGCTGTTCCAAGGTCCTAGAGGTCATCACCTCCTAGGAGCCTAGGGCAAAGGCCAGACCTCTCTGGACACAGTCATCCTTCACTGCATACTTGTAAAGCTGCTAGTCCAACAAGACAGGAGACCAAGACCCTAGAAAGATTGTTTCAAATCTGACTCTGGAACCTCTGTAACAAACATCCTCTTTCTTTCTCTGTCCGGGGCAGCATACACAGAAGTCTGGAGGGACCTGGAAGGAGAGAGCTATGTGTCCCTTTACTAAGGCAGGATGGAGGGGAGGGAGGGGGCTGAGAAAGGAGGCAGTGCCCTCGCAGGGGCAGGACCTAGGCTGGTCTCTCTATCTGCTGCTTTGAGTTGGGAGCTGCCAGCTGTGAACTGTGGTGGTCATTAAAGCTGTCACACTTAGGCAAGGCTCTGCCCCCGCTGTCCAGCCTCCTGCTGTCTGGAGCCCCTGCTCCCCATGGCCGGTCCCACCTCCTTGCAGGGTTTGATGCCGGCTGCTCACCCAAAACCAGGGGGTTTACTGGAAGAGGCAAAAGGAAGGGACTTTTTTTAACCAACCTTTCTTCCACCTCTGATCATTGTGATTAAGCAAAAGGATGAATGTGTTGCAACCCCATTTTTTTTTCATTTTTCAGTTTTTAGGTTGAATTGTTTACAATTTGCACAGCCACCAATATGTTGCATGCAAATGCATATACACAATACACTGCACATATTTTTAAAATTACATATATGTACTAGTCATTGTTTCTAAGAACATTTAGACCTTTAGCTTTTTAAACTTACACAGTTACCAATGGACTAAAGCTAACCACAAAATAAGCATTAATTCAAAGAGATACATACACCCCACTATTAACAGCAACATTATTTATCATTGCCAGGATACGGAAGCATCCTAAGTGCACATCAATAGATGACTGGATAAAGAAAGACGATGCAGCATATATACGTAATGGAATACAACTCACTCATAAGAAAGAAGGATATTTTGCTATTTGCAGCCCTTCATTCCCCCTACCTTTTTTTTCCACTTCAAAAACCAGAATTTTATAATTGGCATAAACATTTCCATTGCATCAGCAACAAAATACCTAAGTATAAACTTAACCGAGGAGGTTAACTATATTCCAAAACTGAAATGACACAAAGAAATAGAAAGATTTCTTGTGCTCTTGGATTGGAAGAATTAACACTATCAAAATGGCCACACTACCCAAAGCAATCCACAGAGCCAATGCAACCCCCATCAAAATACTCGTGACATTCCTCACAGAACCAGAACAAGCAATTCCAAAATTTATAAGGAACCACAAAAGACCCTGAACAGCCAAAGCAAGCTTTTGTAGGTCTTTTTCCCCCTTTCTTTTTGTTCTCTTTTTGCATTTATCTAAAAATTAATTTTTTTGAGGAACCTGGAACCCAGCACACTCCTTGAGTTGGGGAGAGAAAGCTGAGGTTGGGGAAAGCAAATTAGCTAGAGAGAGGGTATAGCTCAGGAGTAGAGTGCAGGGCTAGTATGCAGGAGGTCCTGGGTTCGATCCCTAGACCCAGGAGGCAAGGGACTTCTCACTTATTCCTTCTTTCTATTTAATACATACTTTATTTACTTACATCTTTACTCTTCTTACTTATTCCTTCTTCGTTTCTATTTAATACATACTTTGTTTACTTACATCTACTATTCTCATTTGGAGGTAATGCGGATTAAACCCAGGACCTTGTAAATGCTAAGCATCCCCTCCACCACTTGAGCCATACCCTCCCTTCAGCTGTTTTAAGAATATTCTCAGGGGGCGGAGGCTCAGGTGCACTGGAGGAGCCCCGTTATACGGGCAGGGTGCACTTGGGCCACTCATCGTGCCCGCCTGCCCGAGCTCTCCCTGTGTGGGTGGATCTTTGCTGACTGCAGCCCACAAGTCTCAGAGCCTCAGAGCCGCCTCAGAGTCTGAGTGGGAGGAAGAGGCTCTGAAGAGAACAAGTTTCATCCATAAAAAGTATGAGAGCTTCCACTTAATTTACACTTTAGTGCCAAGCATGGCTTCAGGCACTTGGCAGGCGCCATCTCTCTGGATGTTTCCTGTGATCTCCAAGATGGGGAGACGGAGACACAGAAAGGGCAAGCAACTCAGCAGAGGTCACACAGCAAGCAAGTGGCACTGCTTGTATCTAAAACCAGAGCAGCTGTCTGCCCCCAGTCCTGTGCTCTAACCACCTCAGCATACAGCACAGACGGGGGAAGAACTGCTCTGGGTTAAAGCACAAAGACCCCAGTCACGTTCCTCCAACAGTGAAAGAATTACCACGTGAGCCAGCAGTTCCACTCCTGGGTATGGACTCTGCCCCAAAGAATTGATGGATTTAAGCAAACACTCATGCACAAATGCTCACAGCAGCTTATTCACAATAGCTAGAAGGTAGAAACACCACAAATGCCCCAAAACAGATGAACACAATGTGGCTGATCCATGAGCGGAGTATGATGCAGACGTAAAAAGGAAAGAAGTAATGAACTACACCACACCCTGCTCATTGAAAGCCGCCAGCCACAGGGCCTCGTGGGTATGATCCCCTTCAATGAAACGTCTCGAAGAGTTAGGTCTACAGGAATAGAAGCAGATTCATGGTTGCCTGAGCTGGGGGGGAGGAAGAGGAGGGAGCGACTGCTCATGGAGAGGTTTTGGGACTAGACGGAGGTGGCAGTTACATGACATTGTGAAGGCACTACATGCCACTGTGCTCTACACTTCAAAGTAGTTACTTTTAGGTTACGTGACTCATGGCAATTTTTAAAAAATCACAAGCAACTCACCTGCCCAAACAGAGGTTCACCACTAGTATTCCTTGCCCTGTCCTGTTCAAAACCCACCCCTTCTGTGGCCACCATCCTGTGGGGGGCGTGGGCAGCTCCTTACATGCTTGGGGCTGGCAGCTCCCTGGGCTGCTCTCCCTGCACTGTCACTTGGGCTGACTAGGTCCGAGGAGAGACACTGAGGCTAAGAACAGTGCTCACAGAGGTCTTCCTGTGTTAGCAACCTGAAGACAGGGCTGGTCGAGGTCACAAATGGTAAGTGGCAGCCAGAGTCAGCTCAGATGGTCCAGATCCAGGGCCCACGCTCAAGGCCTTACGACACTACCTGGATCTCGAGGACACCACTTCAAGCCTGCCTTGGTCCGGGTGCTGTCTAAAACCACAGGGACAGGGAGGCACTCAGTGCCGGAGCAGGACAGTCCTGGAGACGGCTCATACCTGCCTTCCTGAGGCCATCAGAGGGCGGCATCCCAGCCTGCATTTCTTTGATTGCATGATGTCCTTGTGGTATGATGGTGGATCGGAGGCTCAGTCCTAGGGGAACCACATCTGTACCTGTCACGGGAGATGAAAACGACTGTCCCTAGGGGTGATATCTGTCACTCCTCAGAGAGCCCCACCTTCATCTCTTCTCAGCATTTAGTGCCAGGCCACCACCTCCCTGATCTTCTTTCCTGCTTTGGGGTGAGACCCAGCATCCTCCTATTTCCCTTGACTGCCAGGAAGCTCAGTGTTCGCCTACTAATCTCAACCTAGGTTTTCTGGAAATAAAACTACTCAGAGCTTGGGTCCCCTACCAGCTGCTGTAGATACATTATCAGTTTTAATTCTCACACAGGAAGCCCAGATCACGTCATCCACAATAAGTCTGCTCTATTTTCTGGTGGGGAAATTGATTCTTAGAAGAGGTTCATCAACTTCCTAAATCTTGAGAAAGGAAATACCAGAGAGCATTCAAAACCAACAGTCTGACTCCAGAGCCACTTCATACACTGTCTCCTTTTATGGTGTAACCCTCACGTACCATACTTTGGTCCTACCTAGGACCCTGCCTCAAGGGTCCTGTCACAGCCCCAGCCTTCCTGGCCAGTGGCATGGTGCCAAGCATGCCAGGTATAAATAATAAGTGATCATGCAAACTCACTGCCAGCTCACAGATGATCAACACTCCTTTAAAGCAAATCTCCTGGCACACGTGCTGGTTCTGAGCATCCAGGAGGATGCTGCGGCCACTGCAGGGGGCGGTGAGGCTGGTCCAGAGCCCTTGGAGAAGCGTCCCATGTCCTCCTCACTGGGTCAGAGCTTCCTCCAACCCAGTTAGGGTAAAGGGGGACAGAGATTCTGTCCCTGTCCTCGGGGTTGATGAGTTCCAACCCCACTGGCTCCTTGGAGCAGAGTGGGAAGAAAATGGACAATGGTAAACTCACAGTCAGTCCCGACCCCAACTCTGCATCTCACAGGACAGGCGGCCTTGACTTTTCCAAGCCTCAGTGGCCTCACCTGTAAAACGGGTGAGTTTGACAATACGATGCTAAGTCAAAGGAACCAGACACCAAAGGCCACGTGTGGTATGAGTCTGGTCATACAGAACGTCCAGAACAGGCCAATTCCTGGAGACAGAAGCAAGTTCCTGGTTATTGGGAACTGCAGAGAGGGACGGGGAGCGATGGCTAACAGGTCCTGGTATTTCTTTTGGGGGGGGTGTAATAAAAATACACGGGAATTAGATACTGGTGACAGCTGTACCACTCTGCACATCCACTGACACCCACCGAGTTGTATACTTTAAAAGGGTGGGTTTTGTGATATGTGAATTACAACTCAAAAAAACTTTAATACAGGTGGACAGGCTGGAGAAAAACAAACCACAAAACAGTTGTATCACCACCAACCTCACAGTCACACACACATGTGACACAGCATAACAAGTAGAGCCCAGCCGCTTCCCACCTCGTGGAAGGTGTTCTCAGACATCGGTCCCTCCTGGCTCTGACATCCGCAGGCTTCTAGCAGACGTCCCAGGGCAGAGGAGAAGTGGCCTGAATCCAGCAACATCCATGCAGAGGGTCCCGGGTCCTGGGCGGGGGCAGGGCGGGCAAGCAGGGCGACGCGGGAGCAATGAGCCCCGTTCTCCTGGCCACCCCGCTCATGCAGCCCCTGCACAGCTGCAGGTGTGGCTCCTCACCCTGGAACTGCGGTGGGGTTGGGCAGGAACCACCAAGCAAACAGCACCCTTGGCCTCCAGGCTCTTTAGGTCCAGCCCATGGAAGGGGAGGGAATTGGCTCTGGAGTCCCCCGTATTGGAGCAGGGGCCGAAGACAGGTTGTGTGGACAGCTCTTGGCAGACATCTCTTGGGCATCTCCCAGTCGAGGGCAGGATTTTGACATTCCCCATGCTGTGGCCTGAGGACCTGCATGAGTACACTGCTGCCCGAAATCTCAACAACCAATGCCACTGGCGATCTCCTCTGAGCCACATCCACCAAGCAATGCCCTCGACTCGAGTCTTTGATACCAACACCCCAAAGCAGGGTTCCTGGGGCTTCAGCCCCTACTTTCCAGTTACAGGCTAATCTGCATCCCTCAGAAAGACAGGTTGAAGTCCTAATCCCTGGAACTCGTGAATGTGACCTTATTTGGAAATAGGACCTTCACGGAGCCCAGTGAAGTAACTAAGCACAGAGGAGGTGATTCTGAATCAGGGTGGGCTCGAATCCGATGACTACTGTCCTGGTAAGAGGGAAACTTGGACAGACACACAGGGAAAACAGCCACCTGAAGGCAGAGGCAGAGATCGGAGGGAGGGAGGAAGGCCTCTACAAGCCAAGGAGAACCAAGGATGGCCAGCAACCACCGGAAGCTGGTAGAGGCAGGAGGGACCCTCCCCTAGAGCCTGCAGAGGGAGTGTGGCCCTGCCCACACACTGAGCTCAGGCTTCTGGCCTCCAGACTAAGAGAGGATACATTCCCAATGCTTGAAGCCCCCAATTTGTGGTTATCTGCAGGGCAGTCCCTGAGACACTCCCCCCACACTGTACCAGAAACCCTCTGAACCAGTGGAAGCCCAAATGAGGAGCCTGGGGAGGCAGAAAGTATCAGCTTCTCCAGCATCTTTATGATGAAATTACATCGGTCTCACGGCTGGATGCAGGCAGCCGGATCAGGGCAGCAGAGGAGACCCCCTCCGGCTCAAAGCAGCTCCAAGACAGCCGCCACCGTGCTCTGGCCGAAGATGAAGGTGCCGAGCAGCACAGAGACCACTCCCCAGGCCTCCAAGCAGCACCTGTCAAGTCAACAAACCCAGGTCAACATGCGTTTTTCCTACCCAGGTGAGCCAAACACATGTAGAAAACTTGTGATGTGAAGCCCATAGAGTCACCAATTTGTTAGAATTTCAGGCTACGCTCCCTTACCTGTAGGATGGGTTTCTGAGACAACGGGAAATAAAGTAACCACACAGTTAAAAAAAAACCTTTCATCCCACCTGCTATTTCATATCCTCATTCCTCCCCAGTATTTTATCAGACAAAGAAATGGGGGCAGGGAGACACCAGTATCAAACCCCCTCCCTCTCCGATCCTTTTCTTTGGGGGTGGGGGTTGAAGCACCCCAAAAGTGAGGAAGGAGAAGAAAGCCCTAAGTCACACAGATGGGAACAGTGGCCAGGGGGCCAGTCTGGAGGCTGCAGAGGTGGCTGGAACCGGCGGCCTCAAGGCCACGCCCTCGAGCTTCATAACGTCACCAGGAGAGACGGTGCGACAATAAGAGCCACGATAACATGATTCCCATGAAATGCAGGGATACTTCTGGCCCCGTTAACAAGGCCACAAGGATCCGCTGTCATGAAGAGGCCACCTCAGGGTGGCAGCTGGGGCTGTCAGCATCCACCCATGGCAGTGGGGGTGGGGAGCGAATGTGTCGGGGGGCTGCAGGCTCCTCGGAGCAGCTTTGATGGATCACCAGGCCCTAAAGCAGTGCTAGGATTAAAAATAACTTGAAAGCCCATCAGTAAAACCTGCTGTGAATTTGGATGGAGGCACCACACAAAAGCAGCAAGACTTGAAAGGGGGCCACAGGGAATGAACCATGTAGGGGGCCCCAGGTCATCGGGGCCGGCACTAAGCCCAGGTCAGCTTTCAAGCTAGCCAGAAAACCTCTTCTCAGCCCAGGTGGGGACCCAGCCAAGCCGGCCACTTTGGGAAGCCCATGCATGGGCTCGATGCGGCCAGAGGAATTGGGGAACAGAGGCACACAGCTGCAGGTGGGACCCGGGTCCACGGCTGCTGTGAAGTAAGAGGTTCTCTACTGGACAGAATGGCGGTCCCCCAAATTCACATCCACCTGGGACCCGTGAATGTGACCTTCGTTAGAAACACTGTCTTTGCAGAGGTAATGAAGTTAAAAGATCTGGAGATGAGATCATCCCGGATTGAGGGTGGGCCCTGAGTCCAATGACAGGTGTCCTTGCAAGAGCAGCAGAGATTTGAGACCTCGACACAAGGGAGAGGCTGTGTGAAGACAGAGGCAGAGATGGGAGGGATACGGCCACAAGCCAAGGACTGCCTGGAGCCGCCAGAAGCAGGAAATAGCACGGAATGGAATCCCCTCTAGAGTCCGCACAGGGAGCTGGGCCCTGCTGACACCAGGCTTTTGGACTTCTGGTCTCTAGAACTGTGAGAAAATAGAACTGTTGATCTAAGTCATCCAGCAGCCCTAGAAAATAAATACAGTGTCTCACCTCAGTTTTCACATCTGTGAAATGGGAATAAGAGCCGCACAGGCTCCTAGGTCCCTGGGCACTGGCTGAGGTCTGGCCTGTCCCCCAGCAGGGGGGGAAGGTAAGAGTGGAGCCTTGCGTCCATCTGGCCGGAGTTGAGCTCCGGCTCTGCCTTCACTCCCCATCTGCCTGTGGGTAAGTTTCTGTCTCTGTGTCTGTAGGATGGAGATACTCTGGCATCACAGGAAGAGGAGGAAGTCAAGGGGTTTAGCACAGGGCCCAGCACTGAGCTGTCATCCTGAGTGTAGAAGGGGGAAGGATGCAAGTCTGGGGTCTCCAGAGGCCAAATCCACACAAAACACCAACCACAGACCGGGACCCTTGGAATGGAAGGGAGGGCCGTGCACAGACTGAGCAGGACACCATGTGCTGGCCAGCATCCAAGTCCTGGCTCAGCCACCCCCTCGCCGTCTGGACCAGTTTCCTCACCTGAAGGACAGAAGCCCCACAAGCCCTGCAGCCTTCACACCCCCTCACACGCTTGCCCCTCACACGCTCGCCCCTCACACACTCGCACCGCCACCCCCACGGAGAGACACTTACTTAACTCGTGGTTCCATGGGCTCCACGCTGATGGCACAGATGAGGCACAGACCTGCAAGGGAGATGCGGGGTCACCCCGGCTCTTTGTGCTCCAACCCAAGGCAACCCCGAGCTGGCAAGGGCTCAGCCAATACCCAGCCATCCCTGGGGACCCAAGAGGCCAGCAGGGCCTTTGCCTACAGTGGCCTCACAGGCTCACCCTGTCCCTGGCAAGAGGCCACAGAGCAGTTGCTAAGGGCCCGGCTGTGGGTTCCAGCTCAGCATCCTCCTAATGCCCTGGCCTTTCCAGTGGCAATGACGGCACACTCGCCATGCCAGGGTCTCTGATGAGATGGTGCAAGTCGAGGGCCAGATGTAGGGCCTGACACCTGGAGTACACTTGAAAACCGACAACTGCCTTTGCTCTTGTTTCCTGTCTTTTTTCTTTTTCTTCTTTAAGAGCGCTGCTGGGAACTGAAACTAGGCAGCTGCAGCTCTCCTGGCTCCCAAATCTGTCCTGGCCCATCCTTTCCCTCAGGGCAAACAGGTGGTGCTAAAAGACTCCACCCAGGACACGGCACCCAGCCCAGCTTACTGTGTCTCAGGCATATGCAGGGCGGCGTCTAGCAGACATAGACCAGGCTTGTGCTCTGGCCCCACCACACACATATGAAAGTGCTTCCCAGCACCAGGGGCTGAACGGATCTGGGTTTCTGCCCCTCCAGGGCCCCTCCTTCTCTGGGAGCACCCTGCTAGCCTTGGCTTTCCTGGGTCTCCCTGGCTGGGATAAAATAACCCTCGGGCCTATTCAACTGGAATTTCACATCTTCACTAAGGTTGGGAAGGTTTCCTAAGAACCTGTCCATCAGGGAAGGTGTTTGCCTACCAGATGGGGGTCCAAGGTGGGAGGAACACGTTCATGGAGGGCCTTTGAACTATGTGAATGTCACAGAATTGAAACCATTTAAGTAAAACAAAATCTTGCAGCGAGCAGAGCAGGAAGAGGGGGAACAAAGCCGCAAGGCTGATTCAGCCCTGCTACCCACTAGCTATTCCGCCCAGGAGTCCGCCCAGGAGGCCTTGGGACCTCATTCTTCTCCATAAGATGGGTTGACAATGGTACGCCCAATCAGGTACGTCCCGAGGGCTGTTGAGAGGTTTAATGAGGGAAGGTGTGTAAAGCCCCAGCCCTGTGCCTGGCTCAGTAAACAGGGCTGGGAGCAACCAACCTACACCCTGACCTCCACGTAGGACTTCCCACAGAGGGGTACTGGGAGGACCAGCAGGCAGGCGGCCCGGGAAGCAGGTGCCTTACCTGGGAAGATGAAGATAAAGAAGGAACTGATGCCCCCAATGATGCCGATGATCTCGCTGAGGTTAGGCAGGAACAGGGCCATGGCGAGTGTCACGGTGACCCACAGGACGGTCAGTGGCAACCGGACCCACGTTCCCGAGGGGTCGGCCAGGGCCTGGGGCCCACATACCCAGCAGCAGCTCCTCCTCCAGAAATCCTGCATCACCGACCTGGAGGCCATGCACACGGGCACCCATGGGCTCTGGGGACTGCAGCCCTAACCCCCGCCTACCACCCAGCACCCCAGAGCTCCCCTATTGTCCCGCACACCCAGCAGGGCTCTCGTTCCACACCAGCTGCTCATTCCCCAGGGATCCGCCCTCACGTGGGCAGCCAACAGGGCGGGGAGCCAAGTTCCAGTCCTGACACTCACTGCCTGGCTGATGCTGGGCAAACCACCTGAATCCTGACTCCCTCTCCTCCTCTAGGAACGGAGGTGATAGCAGTCACACAGGACATACGGGCTAGTGCGGAGCCAGCCACATGCTAACTCTCGACACATGCGGTGCCCTGCACCAACACGTGTGTGAGCAGCCCTCACCTCCCCAGGAAGAGCACGATGGGGTAGACGGTCACGATGGAGATGGCGAAGAGGACCCGGGCGACAATGATGACCCCGTCGTTGCCGGGGTAGGACATCAGGATGTCAGCAGAAACTTCTGTCCCGAAGGTCAGGAAGCCATAAACACCTGCGAGGAGCAAAGGGGGAGGCCCAAGAGTGGATGAGAAAACGCCACTCCCCCTCAACTCTGACCCTGACAGTTTCTGGCTCTGCCTCCTCTCAAGTTCCCCCCAGGAGCTGACAGAAGGGTCTAGAATCTCCCAAGGCTTTCTTGTCCTCAACCTACACGATCCTCTGTTCCTCTGACTCAAACTCTTGCCAGGTGGAATTGTCACTTGTCCTTCTTCCGAACAGTGGACGCTGCTGGGGTGAGCCACCCACTCGTGTGTGTGGATGGACCAGAAGCACTTTGAATAACCCGACAATGCCCTGTCCACCCACCTCTCGCAGCGCCCAGGGTGAGCTGCAGGCTGTGCATGCGTATTTTCTGATGGGAAAACCAAGACTCAGGGTGTCAGCAGCTGTTGGGAATAACACAGCCAGTGATGGCAGGACTGGACCAGCACTACCTGCTGTCAGGTCCCTTGCCCACAACCAGTGCTGCTTCCTGGCATCTGGTCACCTGCACAGTCCTGAGACACCCGTCTCTGGCCCAGGGCAGTGGCTGGCTCTGGCTTTTCTCTGGTCCCATGATCCTGCTGGCCCTGGACCATCTGGAGGAGACCCTCAATCACTGGGTCCAACCTAGGAGCTACACAACAGCAGGGACCTCCCCTGCCAGAGGTCACCCTGCAAGTTTCTTGGGTAACCAGTGTCCAAGCCCCCTGACACATCCGTGGCAGACCCAGGGTTTCCTGAATCAGAGGCTCCAATAGGCAGACGAAAGGAAGAGCTACTGAGCTGGAAGAAAACAGCCAAAAGTAGCCTGAGCCTGGAACCCAGGCTGTGCTATGGGCATGGTGTGTGACCTTGGGCGTGGCACAGGCCCTCTCTGAGCAACACCTCCATCACCTGCCTACTGGCCAGTTTGTGAATGCACAAATCCACTGCATCCATCAGAATGTTTTGTAAACTGCTACCCAGACATGACGCTAGGATGGCCCTCCTCCTCACTGCCATCTCATTGGACAGGAAGCAGGCAAGCAGTGCAGGGAAGTAAGCACAGGGGCTTTGGGCCAGGGTTTGCACCTCAGCTTTGCTGCATCTAGTTGGGAGACCCTGGATGAGCCATGGAAGCCCTGTGAGCCTCAGCATCCTCACCCAGGAACAGTAGACTTTCCCGGCGAGGGGGGTGTTAGGGATTAAATAAGCAAAGGCGCTCAACAGGCTCAGGACACGGTGAGCTCTCTGGAAATTCCCATCATCATTCCGTTTCCTCCAGCATTCCCCACCCAGCGCTGGGCGCCCAGGTGGGGCCTTACCCGTTAGTGAGTAGACGAGGCAGCAGCCCAGCAAGGACAGCGTGGAGACCAGGGCCCAGTGTGCCAGGCCGCGGTTCCGCATGCTGCAGTAGATGGAGACGGCAGCTTCGTGACACTGGAAGACAGAGGCAGGCTCAGTGGACCCGAGCCCGCTGGGCATGGCAGTCCCCTGCAGCTACCTCAAAAGTCCCAGTGTCGGCTGCCTCTCTCGCTCGCTCCTCTTCGGAGACGGCCCACACTCTATGGAGTGTGTACCTACTTTTACTTTAACCTGAGTACCCAACCCCAGCACCTCATGGCCTTTCTCTTGCCTCTTGAAACAGCCTACACTCTATGCACTATGTATCTCTCTAAATAAATCTACCTTTACTCAAAAATAAAAGTCCCAGTGTTTCAAAGCGTGGGCAACGACCCAATGTCCGCCCGCCGTAGAAGGCAGAAGTAACCCATCAGATATTCACAGGTGGAATATGACAAGTCACTGAAAAGGACGAACACCACCGCCCACCTCAACACAGAAGAACCTCGCTGTACCATGGGGCAGAGGCAGCCAGACAAGAATGTTCTCCGTATGTGAAGTTCAAGTTCAAGCCCAACAAGCCGGGACTGGGTTATCAGCTGCAGCCCTGTTGACACTTGGGGCCATCCTAAGCATGGTAGGATGTTGACCAGACCCCTGGCCTTGACCCACTAGATGCCAGGAGCACAGCTTCCCTACCCCCTGCCACCACTGTGACAATCAAAAATGTGCACAGACATTGCCAAGTGTCCCCTGAGGGCACAATCACCTCCGGGTGAGAGCCACCATTTATGGTGACAGAGGGCAGAATAGCGGGGTGGGTGAGGGGTGCTCTTGAGTGGAAAAGGTCACAAGGGAACCTTCTACGGGGAGCTGACAATGTTCTAAACCCACTGGGGTGACGGTTTCATGGGAGTATGTGTACTGATGGCTTATAGACTTCATATGTCCTATGTCACACTGCCACATTTTTTAAAAATATAAACTACATATAGCCAATGCCAAGAGCCCACCTGTGACATGGACTTTATTTATCTGGGGCAGGACCTGGGCAGTGGTGTTTTATAAGCAGCCCAGGAGACCTTGGCAGCCAGGGCTGAGAGGTGTTGCTGTATCTGGATAGACCCTAGGGGTTCTGGAAACTTCCTGGGCTCCTGGGACAGGGTTCTCACTATCATGTCCACCCTAACCCTTTAGTTCACTTCTGATCACAACCCACGTGCTGATCGTGCTCCCCCCGCCCACTCTCCACACTCAAGGGCCCTGCTCCCCTCACCCACCGAGTTCAGTCCATCCTGTCCCTCTGCTGCCTCAGGGCTTTTGCCTGGGCTGTGTGCTCTGCCCGGGATCCTACTCGTCCTTTAGGAAAGCCCTCCTCAGCCGGCTGAATTCCACTCTCATGTGTCCCCATGCCCTGCCTCCCCGACATGGGCACATTTGGGTTTGCTTGTTCAGCGTCTGTCAGCTACGTGATGACAGACACACCTGCCTCGCTCACTCCCAGCACGGAGTTGGTCCACAGTGGAAGAACACTCCAGGGGTTCCTCATCCATCCATCCCTTTGCCCCGCCTCCAGCCATGAGGACTCCCCACACCTGACCCCATCTCACCACACTCAGGCGTTTATCAGTCCCCTTGGTGCGAGCGTGGGGTGCCCATAAGCAAGCCCATGCTGTCCCCATCCCCAAGGAGTGCACTCTACCCCTCCTACTTTCAGCCAGGGTGAGCTCACACACACCTTCCACAACTCACTGGCCTCAGGAAGCCTGAACCTCCCAGGCTCTCCACCCAGGACTCCTCTTACCTCAAAGGCCAGCTCAGTCAGGCAGGCGGGGCTTAACTGCCCCGCCCAGCCCCCTCCCACAGGCCCTGGGAACTCTCCACCAATAAGCATGGAACTCAGGATCAATGCTCCCGCCTCCTGTCCTCAGACCAGATGATACACAGGGAAGATGCTTGGCGGTGCCAGGATGGAGCCCTGCCCTCCTTCCTGTTTGTCCTGACTCCTTGGTTGTGTTTCTCTTGGTTTTATTCAGGGAAATAAAGCTCATCTTCTGAGGGCTGGGCTGCCTCGCTGGGGCAGCATCTAGGGTGGTGGCTGGTGGCAAGCAGGCTTGCTACTCAGTGAGGGAACGTGGGGCAGAGGAGCACACGGTGGGGAAGAAGAGGACACAGCCCAGGGGCCCACTAGTTGAGGAATGGAAAACAGGCTATGGTCTGCCCAGATGGTGGAATATTATTCAGCCATGCAAAGGAACACAGTACTGACATACGGACAACACGGATGCGCCTTGAAAACACAAGGCCAGTGAAAGAAACCAGTCACAGAGGACTGCACTCTGATTCCACTTACAGCAAGTGCCCAGAACAGGCAAATCCACAGAGACAGAGATTGGTGGCTGCCAGGGGCTGGGGGAGGGATGAGGGGGAATGGGGAGTGACTGGTAACAGCTAGTTTCTTTTGGGGGTGATGGGAACGTTCTATAATTGATTTTGGTGATGGGTGCACAGTTCTGTGACACACTAAAGACCACTGAATTGTACACTTTGGATGGGGGAGTTGTACGCCACGTGGGTTCTCTCGATATAAGCTGTTTAAAAACAACAAGGGAGAAGCAATGAAGATGGCCAGGGTGGCCAAGAGCAGAGCCTGCACGCCCAACCCCTACTCCTCCCAGGCCCCTCTTTCCAATTCTGCACAGGCTGGAGGGGGTGCCCCAGTACTGTGTTAGGAGGGGTGGGTCTGAACGGTCAGAGCTCCTGATGATGTCAGGGGGCCTCCCCTTCCCTGCACAGCCCCTCCAAACTTGCCCCACTCCTCACCCTGCTCCCTCCACCCCCAGATCCCTGACTCCCCAGCCAGATCCCAGCAGCCCCATCTCTGGCCTCAGCAACTAATCCTCAGCCCCACCCCTACCCAGCAATTCGCATCTTCTCCCAACTCCCCATTTCTACATCCCGTGTCCCTGGAAACTGCAGCCAGGGCCTCGGTTGCTAGGAGAATCAGATGAGGGAGCTGAGGCAAAGGTGAGGGGGGTGACCCTCCCTTGTAAGCATCTGGAAAGCAGCCCCCCCCACCCTGCCTGGCGCAAGCCTGCCACACCATATGGAGCTCAGACGCAGGAGCGAGGGCTGGTGAAACTGCATCCAGACACACAGCTGACAGCACCATCATCGCTTTACATCTTTCAAAATATTGGGTGTGTTAAGGAGAAACGTGAGAAATTCCATAAGTGGCGTGCTAAGCCCTAGAAGTGATACACGGACTCATTTATAAAGATAAATGGAAATGGTTCAGGAGTTCTTTTTCAAAATTGGTTCTCAAAGGAAATACAAGATAAAGAAACAGAAAGAGAAGCTATCTGATGACTCAGGGAAGCAGACACTCAGGCTAGGAAGCTCAGATGTTGTCAACCCTGAACCACTTTTCCCTGTAAACTTGGTTTTCCTTTGGGCGGTTTTGTTGGTGGTGTAGTGGGTAGGTGGTTGTTTTTAGGAAAGAGGCAAATCTTTCCTAAAATTAACAGTGGAAGGATGGAGTCAGCTGCCACCTGCTAGGAGCCTGGGAAACCCCATGAGAGGCTGGAAGGTAGAGAACAGAGCCTGGGCTCCCTACAGATCCCCTCTGGCCCCGCGCGGAGGGCCCGCTTTGCTGAGCCCGAGGCAGCTATCCAGCCTGGGGGCCTCACCCCTCTGTGGCTCTCAGCACTGCCCTCTCTCACTGAAATGCCCTCCCCTTCACCTGGCCGCTTCCCGCGCCTTCTCCAAGATTCCTTTCAGGTATCAGTGCCTAGAAAAGGGCATCTCTGAATCTGTCCCACCCAGGGCTACTCTGGAAGCCCCTCTGCTAGATTCCACACACAGCTCCCTGACATTCTATCAAATTCTGTGTATTTTGCTGGGTACCCTCTCCTGCATGCTTTCCCGCCCTCCAGCCCCCAGGCCCCTGCAGCAGAATTCACCCGCAGGAAGGCATTCTGCCTAAGTGGACGGCTCCAGGTCCCCAGGTATGGCGACAGTCCCGAGAAGCTTTGCAGAGGAGGGGACAGGTCTCGGATCCCCACACTTTACCCTAGACCCGGGCAGCTGCTGTTGGTGGTGAAAGTGGGGGCTGGGTTCCCAAGTTCAACTGAAATTCACAGCTCACTGAGCCCAGACACCCACCCACACGCTCAGACTCCGAGAGACAGCCCAGCTCATCTGAGAACAAGTCTTCAAACTTCTCTCCTGACAGGGAAGCCACACTCTCCCAAGGGGAGTAGGTAGTCACCCCACTCTGCAAATGCCACCCTTTTCAACACCGATGCTAAGGTTACCTGAAACCCAAAGCAGATGGTGGGGAAGACACTAAATCCAGAGGTCCAGGAGGAAGGACTGTAAATAGACAAGAACCAATGTTTATTATAGACAGTTAATCTCAAGACAACCTTCAACTAGAAGATGAGTTTTAAACAATAGGAGCAAGATATAACTAAGCATGATCATAAGACAGATTTTAATGACCATGTCCACTGCCACGTTTGGGGGAATGGAAAGGCTGCATGTTACATGTTGCACTAAGTACATCTGTGCTGACATTTGGCAACTTGACATTTCTCTGTGCTGGCAGAACTCGGGGCAGGGCATGGCTAGGAGGAACTCCTAACGTCCCTTGGAGACCACCTGTTCCCAGTGAGGTTAGGAGCTGGGGGTTGGGGGGGGGCACAGGCAGCATCAAACAGACCCTAATAGTACAAGAATGGTTTGACTTCTGTCCAAGCTGCCTAAGAGGACTGAGGCGCGCATGCAGCAGAATCTTCAGGTCAAGCCCTCCCAGTAGTCCCCAGATGGTGGCCCTCCAGCCCCCTCGAACAAGCAGCTCTAGGAGCCAGCCTCCAGCACCTCTGAGGACATATGGTGGAATGAAGCACAAAGAGCATTTGCTGTAGAATCGGGGTTTCCTGGCTGTGGTAGAATCTACCCCCAAAGAAGTCCACATCCTAATCCTGGGAACCTGTTAATATGTAACCTTACATGACACGAGAGACTGCAGAGGTGATAAAGGGTAAGCACTTTAAGATAGGGAGATGATCCTGGATTATCTCAGCCCCATGTATCACAAGAATCCTTGAGCCTTCACAGAGAACTTTCCTCTGCTGTGGTCGGAGGGAGCTGTGACCACAGAAATGGGGTTACAGAAAGGTAACAGTGCTGGCTTTGAAGATGGAGGAAGGGGCCACGAGTCAAGGAATGCAGGCAGCTCTAGGGGCTGGAAAAGGCCAGAAAACAGATTCCAGTCTCGAGCTTCCAAAAGGAACCCAGCCCTGCCAACACCTCGATTTTAGCCCAGGGAGGCTCACTGTGGACTCCTGACTCCAGAATAGTAAAATAATAAATGTGTGTGGCTTGAAGCCACCATGTTGGTGGTCACTTGTTATGGCAGCTGCAGGACACTGCACAGAGGCGTCTCCCTTCTGTGCTCCGGCCAACTCTTAAGTCTGGATGTAGCTCATGGAACCTCCCAGGCAAGCCCCGCCATCCTGGACTTTACTCAACAGCACCATCCGCTGACGGCCCAGCCTCCTAGTCACAACCAGGGGCAGAGCAGCCATGTTTCCACTGCTTTGTCTGCCCACCTGCGTCCTCGGGGCCACATGTGCTGTCCCCTCCTATTCCTCTGGCTGAGACTATCCCAGCTCCAACCTTGGAGGCTGCATCTCCAGAGTGCAGGACCCTCCCCTCCGTGTCAGCAGACACATGTGCTGTGTCCTCCGGCCCCCTTGGGCTCCTGCTTTCTCTCCTCTTCCCCTACTCAGAACTCTCTCTCCTGTGTCCTTTCCGCTCTCTGGAACCCAAGCCACCTGGGCCTTCATCCCCACCTCCTGCCATGATGAAGCACATCGGGTCACCAGCGGCCTCCATGGCCAAATCCAATGCTGGGGCTCAGTGTCACGTGACCCAGGAGCAGCATTGGGTGGCAATGACCCCAACCTTCTTGAAATGTTGTTCACTGACTTCTGAAACTCCTCTTCTATTCTCCTCTGTCCTGGGTTGCACAGTATCCCCCCAAATTTATATCCATTGGGAACCTCAGAATGAAGTCTTATTTGGATACAGGGTCTTTGTAGGGGTAATTAGTCACATTAAAACAGGGTCATACTGGAGTAGGTTGGGAGTGAATCCAACAACTGGTATCCTTACAGGAAGAGGAAACACACTCAGGGAGAAGGCCAAGGGATGACAGGGCAGAGCATGTAGTTAAGCACCTACAGGCTGAGGACGTCAAAGAGTGCTGGCACCCCTGGAAGCTGGAAGAGGCAGGAAGGACCCTTCCCTGGAACCCCCAGAGGGAGCACAGCCCTGTGGACACCTTGATTTTGGATCTCTAGCCTCTAGAACTGACAGAGAGGTTTCTGCTGTTTTCAGCCTCCCAGTTTGTGGCTGTTTGCTGCAGCAGCTCCAGGAAGCTAACGCATGCTCCTCACTCACCACCCCTCCCCACCTGTCACCCCACCTCCCCTCGACCTCCCTAGGCCAGAGGGAGTACCACCGGCTCAGTTACAGTTCTTACCGGGTTGCAGCCTGGTCATCTCTGGGCCAAGCTCTCTCTCCAGCCCAGGCCTCTCTGAACTCCAGACACACAGTTTGACCAGCTGGCTGACATCTTTATTTCGTGTCTCAAAGCTGACTCCCACTTAAAAGGTCTCCTCCACCTGACCTCCTCCCCAAGCCATCTGTTTCTCTCTGTCTCATCCGACCCAAGAAATGGCATCCCATCCTCTGCTGGGAAACAAGCTGCTGGAAAACAAGCTGCTGGACAACAAGCAGGTAGAAAACAAGCCACACCTAGATTTCCATGAGCTTAAAACATTGTATTCACACTTGCTTGCTAAAAATGCACATGCTTGCTTTGTTTTAATGTTTTATGCAGTAGATGACCTATAGCACGTATCATGCTAAAGAAAATTTGTGGTGAGCAACCCTGGGATTGACCACAAGGGCTCAAAGGAGGGCACATGTTTCCTGAAAGTAAACAATGGACGGCCCAGGAAAGCCAGGTCATCCATTAACAGAACTTTGTTCTGGCATGAAAACATGCTGTTTAACCTGAGGGAAATGTTTGCTATCTCGAGAGGTCCCGGAGGCAATCACAGGGTAGACTCATAAATCTAAGATACCCTGAGGAGGGTGATTGTTCCTGGAGGGGATAGGCTTGGACTTAATCACTCACTCAGCAAGCAGAACCTAGTGCTTATCGCATGGAATATCTAAAGCCTCACCTCTTTGACCACAAGTTTTTCTGAAGTTGTATACTCCTAATAAATATGATGTCGACCAGGCTTTTGGCACTCTCAATCCACGAGATCTTGAGTTCCCTGGTCCCATCTTTGCTCTATACTTTGTCTTGTGTCATCCGTCCTCAGACACGGTCCCAAGCTGCGCTGGATGCAGCAACCCTCCCTGGTCCTCAAGCCCAAAATTCAGGGTACCCCCTGGACTCCTGGGCTACTTCCAATCTGTCATCTGGGGGTCCAGGCGATTTGAGGGGCTCAGTGCAACACAAACATGGCCAGCCATTATTTAATGGCAGTTAAGAATTTCAGAAGGGCTGGAACAAGACAAAGGATGCTAGTCTTACCACTTTTACTCAATATATTCTTGGAAGTCCTAGCCATACCAATCAGGCAAGAAAAAGAAATAAAAGGGATACAAATCGGAAGAGAAGAGGTAAAATTATCACTATATGAGGATGGCATGATACTATCTATAGAAAATTCTAACAGCTCCCCACAAAAACTACTATAGCCAATAAAAGAATTTGGCAAGGTAGCAGAATACAAGATTAACACACAGAAATCACTGGCAATTCTTTACCCTAACTATGAATTAGCAGAAAAAGAAAGTAAAGAAACAATCCCTTTCAAAATCACATCCAAAACAATAAATACATCTGTTAGGAATACATCTGCTCTAGGTGGTGAAAGACTTATACATGGCGAACTACAAAACAATGATTAAGGAAATTCAAGATTACTTAAAGAAATGTAAAGATATCCCATGCTCTTGGCCTGGAAGAATCAATATTGTTAAAATGGCCATACTGCCTAAGGCAATCTACAGATTTAATGCAATCCCTATCAGATTACCCTCAGAGAACTAGAACAAATAATCCTAAAATTTATATGGAATCACAAAAGACGCAAAATTGCCAAAGCAATATTGAAGAAAAAGAATGAAGCTGGACTGCAGACAATATTAAAGAGCTAAGTAATCAAAACAGCATGGTATTGGCATAAAAACAGACATATGGATCAATGGAACAGAATAGAGAGTTCAGAAATAAACCCACAGACCTACAGTGAATTAATCTTTGACAAAGGAGGCAAGAACATACCATGGAGAAAAGACATTCTCTTCAGCACGTGGTGTTGGGAAAACTGGGCAGCAGATTGTAAATCAATGAAGTTAAACACTCCCTCACTCCATACACAAAAGTCAACTCAAAATAGCTTAAAGACTTAAACATAAGACAAGACACTGTAAAACTCCTAGAAGAAAACATAGGCAAAGCATTCTCTGACATAAATCTCAGCAATGTTCTCCTAGGGCAGTCTACCCAGGCAATAGAAATAAAAGTAAAAATAAACAAATGGGACCTCATTAAAGTTACAAGCTTTTGCACGGCAAAGGAAACCATGAGCAAAACAAAACAAACCACGGAATGGAAGAAAATATTTGCAAATGATGCGACTGACAAAGGCTTAATTTCCAGAATATATAAACAGCTCATACAACTTAATAACAAAAAATGAACAACCCAACCCCAAAATGAACAGAAGACCAAAACAAGCAATTCTCCAATGAAGACATACAAATGGCCAACAGGCACATGAAAAAATGCTCAGTATCACTAATTATCAGAGAAATGCAAATGAAAAACAACAATGAAGTATCATCTCACACCAGTCAGAATGGCCATCATTCAAAAGTCCACAAATGATAAATGCTAGAGAGGGTGTGGAGAAAAGGGAACTTTCCTACACTGTTGGTGGGAATGTAGTCTGGTGCAGCCGTTATGGAAAACAGTATGGAGATTCCTCAAAAGAGTGAAAATAGACTTACCATATGATCCAGCAATCCCACTCCCTGGCATACATCTAGAGGGAACTTTAATTTGAAAAGATACATGCACCCCAATGTTCATAGCAGCACTATTCACAATAACCAAGAAATGGAAACAACCTAAATGTCCATTGACAAATGATTGCATAAAGAAGCTGTCGTATGTTTATACAAAGGAATACTACTCAGCCATAATAAATAAAATAATGCCATTTGCAGCAACATGGATGGACCTAGAGATTGTCAGTCTAAGTGAGGTAACCCAGAAAAAGT